TTGGGGGGGGGGGGGAATATAATCTTATTAAACTACTTATCTCCAGCCATTGAATGTAATAAGAAGGGTCATTTCACAATTAATAAAAAATTTACAATGCAATTAAGTTATTCCTACCCCAAAAGTTGTACCCCAAATTGTGTACCACAAGTATGCACTTTCATTTTGTGCTCCTGTGATACTAGGATGAAACTTTAATTACACAGTCTATATATGTGTCAGTGTGAAATATCGAAATATTACTGTATATCTTTGGAATATATTTTAGAGTACATTCTATGGGGTACTTCTAGCATGATCGAAAAAATTAATGGCCACAGAATGTATTGATAACAAAAGTTAAAAAAATAACAGATTCCAAAGTTTTAAAATTTAAATTTATATAATATTTTGATAAGTAATAAAATGAAATAGTTGGTGGATAGTTTAAAAGTTTATATACGATTTTTTTTAGTTATTAAAGTTTATATTTTTTTAAAGTAATAACATATGATGCATAACGGAGTGTATTTAGTTTAAAGGTACAGTGTATTCAATGTTTTCACCGGTGTGGTTATTATTACTACCTGATAGAGATAAAATCCTAATATAGTTTTATTTTGTTATTATTGTATTTCCATAATTTACTTCCTCCATTATTTAGGATTCTCCATCATGTACTATAAATACTCCTTGAGAGCTCTTTATTCAATGAGATCAATATCTTATCAAATTATATCATGGTATCAGAGCAGAGGCTCAAAACCCTATCTCTTCTCTTCTTCAACCATGCCTAGCAGCTGGTGATCTCTCCCTCTGCATTTTTTTTCGACGAAGACAGTTGACCATCATCACAAAGTCTTCATCGGCGTTGGTCCGTTCGACCATGACCTATACGCCCCATCCTCTTGCTTCGTTTCCCTCCGGAGCAAAACTTCTACTCCGTAATCTCCATAATCTCGTCCCTGAAAAACTCACAGATTCAAATTATCCTGAATGGTCTCTCAATGTCGGGATGGCCCTTGATGCTAATTTACTTCTTGGATGGATCGATGGCAAAGAGGAAGCAGCACAAAAAACAATCTCCAATGATGGAAAGGTATGTGACCGACACCCAAATACGTGCATGTCTTCTTGCTGTTATAAGCCCCACTGTTCACAAACATAACTGGGGTTTTACTACTTCTGCCAATCTTTGGAGTGCTCTTCTTGCTCGATATAATTCTGTGACCATGACTCATATTTATCAACTTCGAGACAAACTTCACACGCTCTGCAAAGGCACAAATACTATGACTCAATATCTCGATGAAGTTGACACCATTCTCACATATTTGGATGCTCTGAATTAAGTGATTCCTGAAAGAGATGTGGTAAATAATGCTGTCATTTGTGGTCTTCCTGCTGAATACTCCTCATTTAAGTAGAACATCTGCATGAACAACGAGAACATCACTCTAAATCTGCTTTTTGGATGCTTCACTTATAAAGAAATCAACCTTGAAATTGAAAGCAAATTGAGTCTAGCTGATTCTGCTTCTAAGAGTACACATACTGCCCTCTTCACATCAAACGCTAATGCTGCGGTCGAGGAGGACCGAACGGTCGACCACCTTAGTTGTAGCCTTTCACATGGTCGACTGCCAATTACTTCGCGCTCTGAATCTCTACTGACGGTCCAATCACAAGACTGTGCTCCTCCCCCTGGTTGATCATCAGCAACTACCTATTTTGAAACTCTACAGACGGTCCAACCACCAGACCGTGCTGCTACCCACGGTCGTCCACCATCAACTACCCTCTCTGGATCTCTACAGACAGTCTATCTTATGAACCGTCCTCCTCCTAACGGTCGAACATCATCCAACCTGCCATCCACAACCAATGCTCACCCCATGTAAACCCGGGCTAAATCTAGCATTTTTAAACCTAAAACCTATATAGCCACCACCCTTGACACTCATCCTCCCATATCTAACCACACACTTATAACCAAGCCTCTAGTAATAGTTATTGGTGCCAAACTATAGATGAAAAGTTTTAAGTTTTGAATGAACAACGGACATGGAATTTGGTACCTCCTCCTAAAGACCGAGTACCTATTGGCTGTAAGTTAATGCATCGTATAAAACGGAATCCTGATGTCTCAGTCTCACGGTACAAGGCTCGCCTAGTGGCCAAAGGGTACCATCAAGAGTATGGCATTTATTATAAGGAGACGTTCAGCCGGCCGTTTGTCAAGCAGCAGACTATATGTCTTGTTCTCTCTCTAGCTCTTTATTATGACTCGCCTATTCATGAGCTAGATGTCTGTAATTCTTTTCTTCATGGTACATTGGAAGAGGATATTTATATGACTCAACCGTCGGGATACGTAAATCCTAACCACCCGCAATTTGTGTGCAAGCTACATAAGTCTCTTTATGGTCTTAAGTAGGCTCCTCGTGCGTGGTACACTTGTTTTGCTTCTTTTTTTATAGGGGCTTGGGTTTCACTGTTGTTGGCATGATACCAGTCTCTTCACTCTACACTACTCCCGTGGCACAATCATTGTTCTCTTATATGTTATTGATGAAATTATTATTATAGGGAGCTCTTCATCTCTTATTTATGATGTCACTCTGTTGGGTTAAGGAACCCAGGGGCCTAGGTGACTAGACGGAAGAGTATCAAACCGAGTCGAGAGTGCACAAGTTCTGGGGTCAAGTAAAATATGACTGTTATTGTGCTTGTTAGAACGTAAGTCTTCCTTCCATTGGAAGGGGTTTATATGCGAGTTACAACATAGGGTTCTCGACCGTTGGTCCGGAGTCCAACAGTCTGGGCCCATGAAGATTGAGTTGTTCACTCGCGGCGTCCAACCGCATTATTATCCCTAGGATTGCTATACAAAATAGCTTACAAATAGGGTGGCTAGAACAACTCTGCCAGAGGTATGGCAGGGGTCCAATCGTGGGCCCCTTGATCTTGACTAGTTAGACATCTCCCTTGTCTGGACCTGGTCTGCTGGCGCCCCAGGCCGAGGCCGAGTGTGTGCCCTGTCTTCGTAAGTCCCTTGATGGAAGGTCGGTCGAGGACGGTTTGAGGATGACCGGCCCTGCCAAGGCCAAGCATGAAGACTGCCGAGGTGGCCTTCCTAGGTCTTCAAATTATTCTCTTTGGTTTAGCTAAGTGGGCCTTAGCGTGGTTGGGCTGGTCCGTTTTCCTGTTGGGCCGGATACCCCCATTCCCGGGTATCCAACATGAGTCCCCTACTTCCTCGGCCGAGTGCATCGAGGTCGAGGGAAGTAATAATGTTTAGGAATTTGAATTTTGAAAAATCTAGGTTGTGTATAGGAGTCCCCCACTGCCCAGCTTGAATGTTAATGAGAGGTGGGGAGTGCTCCAAGTGGCAAGATTTACACGCGTCACCTTCGAAATTTGAAACTCATGATTGTGCTTCTTGGGAAACGCAACGTCTTTGTACTGTTCTTTTGCCAGCCGTTTGTGACGATCCGTAATCGTACGCGTGAGAAAACGCCACGTCCCTTCGTAATCGTTGCCTTTTCTTGAATCGGGTTGGATCCCTTGTCATATAAAAGAGGAAAATTTCCGAATCTTCTCCACCCTTGTCACTCCTGCGCCGCACCTTCGCCGTTGATTTCTGCCGCCGTACCTGCTCGGTCATCGTCGCCGTCGCAACTTGCCCAGAAGGTTAGTTCATCCTTCCTCGTTCTCATGGCATTTTCTGAGTCTACTCCTACTATCCCCGTTGCCGACCTAGCGGAGGAAGCTTTTGAGGAGATGTACCGACAAAATCCCTCCCTCCGTCCCGACGGTCTGATGGGAGGAAATGGCCGTTCTCTAGTTCTGAACGCGGTGCCTCTCTAGACGATGGTCACCATTGCATCGTTGTCCCGGGCGCCGCCTCTGAGGGGAAATAATTCGAAGGCCGCCAAGAGAAAAATCCGGAAATCCCTACCCGTTACCGCACTGAAAACAGGTCCAATCACAAATACGGGTTGTCTACTGTTAGACGTTGACTTTGACGAGGCCCTTCGCTTCGTGGGGGAGGGGTATACTGTACGCCGACCGCACGCGACTAACCACATCTTCTCTATGACTTTCCCCGACGCCGAGGTTGGGGTGCATGTGTCGTCCATGCGCTATGGTCTCCGATTTTCTCGTCACGAGCTGATAGTCCAGTTCTTGAACTTCTACTGCCTTCTCCCCGGCCAGCTCAGTCCCCACTCCTACTATTGCTTCTCGACCTTCCTGATCAAGTGCCATCTGAAGGGAGTCCCCTGGTCACTGGATCTGTTTAGGTACATGTTCAAGGTCTCCCGGATCGGTGCACGTGAGGGAAATTCGTATGCCGTTGTGTCCTCTCAGAACGAGTGCGGTATGGTCGTCGTCCCCATATCCCTCAAACTCTGGAAGGCAAAGTTTGTCTTCATCCCTGGCTTTCTTGGGGCCCGGCACCCTTTCCAAGCCAGGTTCCCTGAGTGTCACTCCTTTGTTCGCCACCCTCGTCCCGACCCTACTCCAAAGCTTCTCGCACACGCATAGAAACTCTTGGAAGATTGCCGACCAAAACGCCTCACGTATACACGGTGTGCACGGAGTAGAACCTTGCGAAGGTGGGGACCCTAATCTCCCTCGAACGACAGTTCGAGTTGGCCAAGGCCGTGCAAGGGGGTCGTCCCAAGCATGGGCTCGAAGAGACTGCCTCGGGCCTGTCAATGGAGGAATCTGAGGAAGTGGACGAGGACGAGGAGATTGAGGCCGATGAGGAGTCCGGACAGCCGTCCTACTCCGAGGACGCAGCTGACGCGGAGCCTTCCGAAGGTCTGTCCTCCGCTTTAGGATCTCTCTTTTTTACTGACTAGTTTTGATCTGTGCTTTACCTTGGCACGGAACATGCGTTTTCTTAAAGTTGCGCGGAAGGCTAAGTCGCTGGCCTAGAGTCAGGGCCGAGAGGAGGAGATTTACCAAGGGCCATCTTCAGGGGATATTTCCAGGTCTACTTCGATCATTCCTGACCTGGAAGTGGTTCTGACCCGGAACAAGAGGAGGAGAAAAACCCTCCAAGTCAAGGAGGAAGAGGCTGTGTCCGAGCAGGACGTGGTTCTGACCCAAAGTCTCCCGGCAAAGCGTCCGGTCGTTCCCGAGGATGGGAAGTTCTCCGCCCTCCTCGACGAGAGTGGTAGGGACGTTCAAGCTGAAGCCGAGGCCGCATCCCTGACCACGGTGCTGAAAAAATGAGGGCGGAATCCTGTCGTCCTTGCAGGAGACAGTGGACTGGTTCCATAAAGAGGTGAGTTCGCATGTGTTCCTCCTTAACGCTCATAACAGATGATTGACTTAGCTTCTTTCAGGTGTCGACGAAGCTGAGTCTCATCAAAGAGCGCCGAGCCGGGGCTGAGTTCTTCTTAGGGGTGAACTTCTTGGCCTCGGTGGAGGCAGAACTGTCCCGTCTAAGGAAGCTGGCGGCCGCCGAGCATGAGCAGGTTGCTGAGCTAGAGATGCAAGCTGTGACGAAGTCCGAGGAAGTGGTCAGGTTGCATGGCCTGTTGAGAGAATCGGAGGAGTCGACTTCCCAACTGACGACTTCCATGGCCGAGCTTGAGGGGAAGCTGCGCCAATCCGAGGGGCGAATAGCTGAGATGGATGTTGAGTTGGCCGAGGCCATTTCCCTGCAGCGATCTTTGGAAGCAGAGCGGGATCAGGCATTCGCCGAGAAGGAGGAAGCCGTCGCCGAGAAGGAAAGAGCTTTTTCCAACTTCCTCCAGTCCCCAGCCTTTAAGGAGGCGTGCATGGACAAGTTCGTTGAGTACTATGACAGCTGGATTGAGACCGAGGCCGACATAAAGAAGATTGGGAATGAGGGGCCGAGATGGATCGAGGCCGGCGTCTATTACGGGATCCAGCTTGTCCTTCAGCGGTTTAGGAGAGTGGATCCATCTTTCCCTCCGCCCGGGGTCGATATCCCATATATGCATGACCCTAGTCTGAACGGCGAGCTCGGTTCCAATCCAGATTACTTTGGGACACCCGAGCGTGAGGACGAGAACGCCGATGCCGCGGGCGAAGATCATCCCTCGGACTGCCCCTCAGAGACCTTTCCTTAGTGTTTTTCCTTTATAATTTTTGAAGTTTGCATCCCTTGTATTAAACAAAGATATTTGCGTACTATTCAGTTGCATGCGTGCACAGTGAATTGATTTCCTTCTTACATCATTTATTTGATTTAATTTAAATTGCGCCTTTTGAGGATTTGACTCTCTAGCTTCCCCATAAAACAGACCCAACCACTGGACCGTCGCACTGTTTTGTCCAAGTGGCACTGTGCCCCGTTTCATTCCAACCACTACGACTGTTCACATGCCTTATCCCTTTGTGATTGGGCCTATAAATTAACCCTTCCCTTCTCGTTGTGAACCCATCTCACTTTACGCAAATTGTGTTAATTTCTCTATGGCGTCCAACAACTCTAAAGAGACTGTTCCTTCTCCTTCCCAATCAAAGGCCGTCCGGCGTGCTCCTCCCTCTCCGCCGGAGGACGCCGAATCGCGTACATGTTCCTGGTGGTACCGTGCAAGGAGATTGGAAAGGCGCATTGAGCGATTGCAACGGCTCGTGAATTATCTTCATGGGGCCCCTCGACGACCTGCGCCACCGGTTGAGGTCGCTCGGCCAGCTGCTAATGCCATCCCCACAGGTGATAATCACCCGGAAGAGTCTGTCAGCTCGTCTTAGGTTTCCCTTCCATGGCCCTTCTTAATTCTGCACACCTCCATGGGCAGATATACAGGAAGGGCCATCTACGTCCTTCGGTACCCGGGTTTTGTTGGTCTTAAAATCCATGGGGCCCTGGGACGTGTATCTACCTCCCCATGGACTTCAAGACTAGGGAAAAAGGAGGTCCATTGGGAGGAAGAGTACTTTAGGTCTTTTCCTTTCTCAGTGCCGCTGTGTAATAAATGTTGCCGTTGTTGCAACCATAGCATTGTAGGGCGTGTTGTGTAATAAATGTTGTAGCTTTCGAGATACCTTGTAATGAAATTTGACTTTGCATGCAATGAATGCCTTGTTTTTTGATTATAAATATGTTGCGTTGCTTCTTTATCTGCCCCTTTTGTGATATGGCGTTAAGTCCCGGAACCCCTTCTCTCGAAAAAGGGACGTCCTTTATTCGTGGTACCCCACCATGCTCGTTCCTCATGGCGAGTTCCACTTTTCCCATCTTCGCCACCGCTCCGACCGCGGTGGGAAAGTGCGTCGATTCTGACTCTCCTCCCTTGAGTGAGGAATCTGTTCAAGGTCCTCTTTGCCAAGAACCTGTTGCGGCGGAGGTTTCGAAGAAATCCGGTCGCCTGGTGCGCAAGGTAGGCGCCAATGTGCGTGCCTATCTCCAAGGCTTCCGCCGTGCTCATCATAAGAAAACCATCAGAACACTCCTTCGGATGGAACGTACGTCCGATCACGATGTGTCTTCCATGGATTCTTCTTTTTCTGAGGAAATGAATGTGTATTTCGACCATTCGGGAAATAGTGCTTCTCGTTCTTGTTCTTAAATGACGATGTATTGCCGCCTTTTGGCGTGTCTCATGTAATAAGACTGCTTGCATGCTCTCTATCTCTTTTTCTTTTTTTTTTGTTTTTTTACACCCCATTGGGGTTTTATTGCGCTCTTACCCTCAGCAGGGCGGCGAAGGGTGTGTCTCAGCAAGACTAAGTGTCGTGGAAGACATCCTAAGCAGGATTGCAAGTTTCTCGTCCTAAGCAGGACCTTGCGCTGCCCTTCGTGCTAATAACAAGTTGTGCCCAATCAGACCTTGTTCTTCATCTCGTGCTGAGTCCCCGGGCTAGGCTGTGTGGATGGGCTCCCCCCCTGAAGGGACACTTGACAATATGCATTGTCAAGTGGCGAGACGGTTAAATCGTTAATTCGTGTGATATGTGTGGGAGCACAAAGGGACTTTGTTCGCGTAAAGCGAAAGACTGCGTGAAGTTAAATCGCGGCGTGGGAGCCCGATGACGCTAAGTAGCGTGATAAATTGCGTAGAAGCAAAATTGAAATCGCAAGGAAGCGAGAATTTCATTAAGTAAATTTTTTTTAGCTACCGAGGCCGACTGGTTACGGTTCTCAGTGCATTACACGTAGAAGGAAATGAGATTGTGAGTGTTCCAATGCCTGCTGAGTTCACGACCCTCAAGCGTAGAGAGCTTGTAGGTGCCTGGCCTGAGCACGACTACAACCTTGGCGAACTTTCCTCCTTCTGTGGGCTGGCTGGCTTCTCTTTTCCTGAGCACTAGGTCTCCCACTCGGAATTTCCTCGCTCTGACCTTGCGATTGTAGTATTCCTTGACCTGCCTTTGGTAGTTTTACGCCCTGAGGAAAGCTCGTTCCCGTCATTCTTCAACGAAATGGAGGTCAGCCGTCATGGTTTCTTCATTCTCTTGGGCCTCGTAGTTCTCCTCCCTCCAGGTCGGAATGAATATTTCCGAGGGCACTCTTGCTTCAAAGCCATAACACATAGACAATAGTGTCTCTCCCGTCGCCCTCCTGGGAGTGGTGCGGTATGCCCACAGTACGTTGGGGAGTTGGTCCACCCAAGCTCCTTTGTAGGACTCGAGTCTCTTCTTGATTCCATACATGATGGTCCGATTAGCATTCTCCACTTGGCCGTTCCCTTGCAGGTAGGCCACAGAGCTATATGTATGCTTTATCTTCCATCCTTGCAAGAGTTCGTTGAAATCTCCAGCTCGAACTGGGTCCCGTTGTCTGTGGTGATATGTTTCGGAACACCATATCGGCTGAGTATGTTATTGCTCACAAACTTTGAACATTGCTCCGCGGTTCCTCCCACCAGGGGCTCGGCCTCAATCCACTTTGTGAAGTAGTCGATGGCCACAATGATCCACCGGAAGTTGCTAGGCGCCCTCGGCATCAGACCAATGAGATATATCCCCCAATGAGCGAAGGGAATGGATGAGCTGATGGGATGGTAATTTGTTCCTGGTCTCCCGGCACACCATGGTCGGCCAAAAATATCCCTGCAAGACTATGCGTCTTGCCATGGAAAAAGGGCCTTGGTGTGCCGCACATACCGTACTCCCTCATGGACTTCTTCCATGATCTGCCCTGCCTTGGCTTCATCAACACAACTCAATAATGTGCCGTTGTACGACCTCTTATATAGTCGGCCGTTCTCAATGACATACGTCGGCGCCCTGCGTTAGATCAAACGGGCCGCTGTCCCGCCGTCGGGGAGGATCCCATCCTTCTTGTACCGGATCAATTCCGTGATCTAGTCGTCGGTCTCCCCAGTGATGACGGATATGTGCTGCACGTGAATGCTCGGGGATCCCAGGTCCTCGACATGAGCCATCTTAGAAATGTGTTCGGGGCTGTCGTTGCTCAATTTGGAGAGGACATCGGCCTCGGTGTTCTCTGCCCTAGGAATTTGCACCAACTCGTATCCTTTGAGAGTTTTGAGCACCAATGTTGGACTTCACGACGTCCTTCGGGCTGGAACGTCGGCTGCGGCGTCGTGACTGGCATATGGAAACCAGTCATGGGCTAGTTGAACATCATCGCCCTCATCATGGCCCCGAAACCGCTAGGGTCTAGGCTAGGGCCCCAAATCTTATCTTCTGGTGTACAAAGAAACAGACTCGTGTCTCGTGGTCTTCTACTAAGGCTGAGTATCCATATCGCGCCATTACAAGGTAAAACACAAAACAATTAGACGACAACCACATCTTACAAATGCTTATGTAACTTGTTTGGGCATTTTCCCACTTTTCATCATACACACATTGTTTAGAAAGGATGCCTAAAGAAGAATCCAAGCAGAAACTACTCATATGAGTGATCATAACACAAATTAGACTAAGCAATGAGGCTCTTCTAAAAGAGAGTGAATTGCAACTCACCAAAAGGTGAAAGCGCAAATATCATCAAACTCAACCCATTAACATTCAAGCTCAACACCTTTATCAAGACTACAGAATCAAATAGAAAAATTTGCAAATCAGCATTGTAGAAATTTTAAGCTATAATAATTAACATTATCCATTTCTACGTAACCTAGCAGGGCATATCAACCACTAATGAATCCAATTAAGTGTGTGAAGTAAAATAAAATTAGTGAAGTAAAAAAATCTACAACCAGGCCATACATTTCTACAACAACGGATAAACCCAAATAATCACATAGAAAGAGTTTACTTTAAAAGAAAAACTCAATGAAGTTAAAATAAAAAGAATAAAATAGATCCTCAGGAAGATTTGAACTTTGTTAAAGGTTTTTAACAACTTCTAATATTTGTGATACATAATTAGAGTCAAAGTAAATTCAATTGAGTAAATTGCACCAAACCTAGAACATAGAGCTCACGAACAAATAACAATAATACTCTCCCATTTATGAACATCTTTAAAGGCAAAAAATGATTATAAAACTTTTTTAATAAATAGAATCCTAAACACCAATGCCTTGTTTGGCTCATCTGTAGAGGACGGATGAACAAAAACCAAAGTAAGGATTAGTAAGTACTTCATTGACATTGACAAAACATATGCATTGTGTAAAGCTACATAAGAAGACACTGATCATCTTTTCTGCAAGTGTTCAATCACCAAATTATGCTTAAAAGGGTTTCTAACGGACTAGAATACAAATTTGAGGGGACAAATGTTGAAGATATTATTAGAAACAGATTAATGGCGCTCAGGGGAAGGAGTTTCATTTTTTTACTAAAAAAAAGTTCTTATATTTTTAATTTGTTGCAAATAAAAGAATACAGAGTAAGGTTTTTTTTGATATCTAGTTAATTATATATTCATAATATACTTTTTGGACCGATGCGCAACAGATTTCCTTCATGACTTAGTTTTCCATATTCTATAAAAAGATTCATATTCTTTTCTTTTTTTATTCTTTTTCTGTTTTATTTTAATTTTGATTAAAATTAAATAATTTTTATAAAATTATTTTTTTAAAAAAAAGCATGAAGAGAAAAAAACAAAAAACAAAACAGAAAAATGTGAAATGAGCTTCCATGCAAAAAAAAGATATTGTTTCATTAATTTATGTATCATGAAAATAAACCAATAAGAATCTCTTTTTAATAATGTGAAAATAATTAATTTGAGACCCACAAAGTATCCTCCAGACTATAAATGGGCAACTGAAACTGCGCACAATGGCATTGTAGTCTGGACTTAAGTTTGATATTTTTTTTGTTTCTCTCTCTTTGTTACCACTTTTGGGTAGCTTTTGTACTTGTACTTTTATTGGTTTCCATCTAATAAAAATCCTCTTTAATATATATATATATATATATATATATATATATATATATATATATATATATATATATATATATATATATATATATTTGGTTCAGGTGAGAATGCGATCTTATGAAAGAAATAAGAATGAATCTGGTGTTTTAGATTGTGAGATCTAAGGGTCAAGATTGCATCAAAATTAAGTGCACCAAAAAGGTTAAAAAATGCATCCTGTCGAAATGCATCAAAATCCTTTGAAAATGCACTATCTCAAAATCTGAGTGCAGAATGCAATCTGAGCCGCACGATGCACGATGCATCATATATATATATATATATATATATATATATATATATATATATATATATATATATATATATATATATATATATATATATATATATATATATATATATTAAAATTCAAAGTATTGGCTTAAAGACCCTAAAAAGTCGTGATAAACGGGTTGAGTAATTAAATCCATTTGAAGGTATTAGAATATTCGGTTTGACCCCAAAATTGTTCCTATCCTCCTTACCACTTAAGAGTTAAGAATTTGTATACACAAAGTGTTATTCAAGAAAGAGTAATTACCATATGTTTCAGTACTTCTTTGTTGTTCATCATCTTAGTTTCGATTTCGTCATTTAATCTTTTTTCATCCCATAAAACCCAGCTTTCTGAAACCAATGATGCACTCGAAATATAAGGAGAAGAAGAGAAAAAAATAAACAATTTTCTACAACTATGTACCTATATGATGCATGCCCTATAAAAGAAATAATCTTTGATTGATGCATATACAAGTTTTTTAATATTTTGATAAGGTACAATTAGTATAAATTATTACCTCCATTGGAGAGTATTCATCCCGTTTGGGTCATATTGAACAAAAGTTACTTTGATCATCAGTTACACAAAAGTTGTATTTGATATTAGTAGAAAAATGATGTTATTAGATTTATTTTGCGTGAAACTATCACATATGTATTTCATTATATTTCAACGTGATACAAATGGTGCAATTTACACTAAATAGTACTAAAACATATGTATTTTTCCAATGTAGTACTTATAACTTTTTATTTTTAAAATAATACTTGAATGATGTCCAGTAGCAAGAACAATGTCAGTGGCAGTGAACATTTACTTTGAATAAGACCAAGTGATGGTGGACATTTATTTAAATAATGTCCTGTAGACATTGAACAATAATACTACATTAGAAAATAAAAACATATGATACTACATTAGAAAATTCACTACAAATTTATTGTCATTAATAATATAAATTTGTCTAGTTTGACTTAAATAAAGTAAACTAGACAAATGATCTGATACAAAATGAGTAGTATTAATCCTACAATTCAACTTCTTTTTTTGGTAGAAGGACAAGTAATATAGCCTCAAATGTAGTCCTATTGCACAATCAATACCAGTGAATAGAAGTTATAATATCCATGAACAATCTCAAGATTCATATAAAGTCTGCTAGCTCAGCCTAGCTCATCATTTTGTTAGAGATTCACTATATTATTACTGTAAAGAAGAGCTTACAAAAACGGAGAACGGAACCCGAACGACGTGGTTTCGGTCTCCTAACAGAATCATCTCCCCGAATGAGTATGAATTTGTCGGTTTGGTTGCGTTTAAGACGATTATGAGATGCCTTGAAGCTTCTCCTCTGATCAAGAAGTTCTGTGGCATTACTGAAACCCGAACACCAACGGGTTCTCTCATGATCACCCGGTACCTCTCGTCCGACCTGGCCACGTTTGTCACCCTTCTCATTACGGTCCTTGACCCAACCAGGTTCGAGATGGTCACGCTCGGCGTGTTCAAGTCCGAGCACCAGAGCGCCCTCTTGTTCTGCGGGCACTCAAACCCGACCGCCCGCCTGACCGACTTCTCGTCCACGCCCGGAACCGCGCACAAGAACTGAACGTACTGTTGGAAGTGGGTGTTGAAGACCAGGCCCGGGTTGAGAGCCCGGGTCGGGTTCACGAACCCAGACCCAAAATCGAACGGCGTTGCGGGAGCCAGCTGGGAGGCTTGTTGGGATAGTATCGCGGCACCGGAATGGTCCGTGATGTCAGCAGATGTCATCATTGCTGACGTGATGGCGGATGGCCTCCAGCTCGGATGCCTCTGTTTGATCAGCGCTGCAATGCCGGCTATGTGAGGTGTCGCCATACTCGTCCCGGAAACCATAGCAAAATTTTGCCCTGAAAACGGAAGGAATTGAATGATCACAAGAAAAACAGATATAATCCCATTTTATTTGCAGCAAAATAAGATAGTAAAACAGATCTATTTGCAGCAAAATAAATAAATAATCCCATTTTTCAAATTGCGCCTTATGGAGGTGCCTTGAGGCGAGAGGAGTTCCCATCGTGTACACCCGCGCGATCAAGGATATGTACGATGGGGCTATGACTAAGGTAAGGACTTCCGGGGGCGACTCAGGTTCTTTCTCGGTAGGGATGGGGTTGCACCAGGGGTCTGCCCTTAGCCCTTTTTTGTTTGCCTTAGTGATGGACGTCCTAACTCAAGGTGTTCAAGAAGGGGTCCCATGGTGCATGCTTTTCGCGGATGATATTGTGCTTTAGACGACACACGTGAGGGACTAAATGATAATTTGAAATTATGGCGCCTTGCCCTTGAGACGAAAAGATTCAGAATAAGTAGGAACAAGACTGAATACATGGAATGTCGTTTCAGCGGCCGGGATACAGAATCAGAGGTGGAAGTCAGGATTGACTCTCATCTAGTACCTAAGGTAGACAGGTTTCGATATCTTGGCTCGGTAATCCAGGCTGATGGGGAGTTAGATGCGGATGTTGGACATCGTGTTGGAGTGGCTTGGGCCAAATGGCGGTTAGCTTCAGGGGTGTTGTGTGATCCGAAGATTTCGCCTAGAATGAAAGGTAAGTTTTATCGTTCCGTAGTCAGACCTGCTATGTTATATGAGGCAGAGTGTTGGGCGGTTAAGAAGACTCATGTGCGTCGTCTGCATGCGGCGGAGATGCGGATGTTACGATGGATGTGTGGGAAGACAAGGTTGGATAGGATTTCGAATGAAGTTATCTGACGTCAGGTAAGCATGGCACCGGTGGAAGATAAGTTGCGGGAAGCAAGGTTGAAATGGTTTGGTCATGTGAGACGGCGGGATGCTAGCGCCCCTGTACGGAGATGCGAGAGGATTACGGTTATCGGGGGAAGCAGGGGAAGGGGTAGACCTAGGAAGAATTGGAAGGAGGTGATTAGGAAGGATTTAGGACTTCTCGACCTGACTGAGGATATAGCCTTAAATAGGAACCTTTGGAAAACTAGGATTAGAGTAGCTGGATATGAGCTCGGTGTTGTAGAGGTTGTTTTGTGGTGTGTTGTATTTGTTAGGAATCTTCTGCTATTGCTTGTACGTGTTGCTTGTACTTGGTACTTTATCTGTGTTATACTATGTTCCCTTCCATATTTTTGTGCAAGTGGAGCCGAGGGTCTCTTGGAAACAGCCTCCCTACTTCCGAGTAGGGGCAAGGTCTGCGTACACACACCCTCCCCAGACCCTACTGTTGTGGGATTCACCTGGGTTGTTGTTGTTGTTTGTTGCATTGATATACTATCAGTTGTCATGAATTGAAATAGAAGTTTCAATTGTCATAAATAATTGTTATAGAGAGTTTTGTGGCAAAGACTGCATGATCTTTGATACAAGAATAAGGATTGAGATGAGTATATACAATAGGCTTGAAATGAGGAATTATTCAGTACAAATTTGAAAGTTGAGATTATTTTGCACATACCCGCCAAATTTTGGATTATTTTACATAACTTTTTTTTTTAAAAAAAAGAGTCACTTTTTGCCTAGTTTTTAATATTAAAAAGCCGGTGTTCAAGTTGTAAAACTGGATATATTATGGAACAATTTAAAATTGTAAAAATCTTGTAAATACTCGCTGAAATTTGAGATTTCGCACGAATACTCCAAGATTCTACAATTATCATCAGTGTTTCCAAAAACTCAATCGTCAAGTATTCGTGTAAAACCTCAAGTTTCAAAAAATATTAGCATGATTTTTTCATTTTAAAAAAGGAAATAGGACATATGAAATGTGAGTCAAGTCAAGTAGTAGTGTCACCTTTGATGTATTTGTCTCCTTCACTATTAGGGCTCCAAGCAGCCCAAATGGAGGAACCAGGGGCCATGATGTTTGGCTTAAGAACATCAGCAGTGTCTAATAATGCATTATTCACATCTGGGCCCCTTGACGAATACGATGCTACAATTGGGCCTTGGCCCGTATAAACCGCTCTCCTTCCGTCTAGTATCCTTGCCGTTGCTCTGAACGCAACCGCTCTTCCGTTTCTGCTTCTCAATGTGTTTGAATTGTAATACTGTCTCAAAGCCTGCACACACAAAAATGATCAAATCGAGACCCCATTGGTCATACATTTTTTTCATATTTGATTTTTCTTGGTCAACATTTTTAAACTTCGACTAGTAATTTACTCCACATTTTATTCAAAAATAAAACTTCCTCCCATTGCACTACAAACAAGATTTGACATTTAAAAACTCCTAGTTCTAGTTATTAAAAATACTAATGAGTATACAAGAATGTATATTATATTCAAGTCATTGCCAATGGTTTTGTGACGAAATCTCACAATTCAACGATCATGACAGGAGTGGAAGAAGAAGAAGGATGATCCATACCGTGGAGGACTCCAAGTTGTTCAAGATGAGGCCGGGGACTTGTAGGGTCAACGTGGCGCCCTTAATTTGCTGAGAGCCAAGGTCGGGGTCCACTGTGAGCACAAAGCCAGCAGCACCGGCTCTGGCCACGGTGTCGGCAACCGCGGCTATGCTGGCTGCCTCGGACTCGAAATCGTAGGTGTAGGTGCAGATCAGCAGCTTGCCGCGAACCAATGAGGGCACAAATTGGCTGGGATCTTGGCAGCTCTCCACCGTCAGAAGACCTGCTGTGGAGTTCCTCTGGCTCACGTCCACCGCGGCTGCAAGTTGGAAAAACTCTTCTCCCATTGTTGCAGCTGCCAAATTTTTTGAAGGTTTGGAGTGTTAGAGTATATATAAACCTTTCATTGGCCACAACCACAAGCCTGAGCTTTTGGTTGAGTTGGTTCCTTGACATGGTATCACAACCTTCTTGATCAAGAGGTTATAGGTCCGAAACTCAGTGCCATCCGGTAAAAGAAATTAAGATTTCACATGCAAGACTCAAAGCAGCCACGTTTGCACGTGAGGAGGCGTGTTAGAATATAAAAAGCCTTCCTAAGCCACAACCACAAGCTTGAGCTTTTTGGTGAGTTGGTTTCTTGACATGGAGAAAAAAGAAAAACACTTTCGCAGACCAAATACAACAACACAAACGAGCTCAGAAACCAACAACAAATAGGATGTGACATCATGAATGCGTGTAAATTACCAAAATGTGGTGTCATGAAAACTTACGGGAGAGTCCACTGCCAGACAAGGCGATTCCAGTGCCTAAAATGATGGAGTTGGTGTACCTCCGATCAGTAGTGCAGGCGGCGACACTAGTGATCCAGGGGCTAAAAGAGAGCATGGACCTTGAAGAAGGGCCGCCATTTCCAGCAGCTTGAACCACCAGCACACCTGCCCTTGTGGCGAACAAAAGTTGGATTTCTAGGACGTTTAGGAACGCGGAAGGGCCTGATGGGATGCTCGATGGCCCTACGGAGAGGCTAAGAACATCAACTCCATCTTCCACTGCCTTCCATACAAATATATAAAGGCTCATCACATGCAAATTAGGAAATAATATAAGTAATTAATGAACTTCAGCCATTCAAACCCCAGTGGGGGCAATAATAACTCTATGTGCTTAATAGGCTGCGAATGTATGAACAGATACTACATTGTAATATAGTTATTAGTATTCAAAAAAAAATACTCGCTTCATATTAAATTAATTCGGTCACTTTGACTTCATGCAGATTTAGAAAATGTTGATGATAGAATTTAGGATGGGTATGGACAACCAGATTGGGTAATAAGACACTTGGGTTGAACCACATTAAAAGATTGAATTCAATCGATTAGTTAGTTCAACTCAAGAGCTTATATACCGATTATTTTTCTCTTGAATTTCCGATGTGAGATGACACTCTAACAGTTGAGAATATATGTTTAAAAGTGAAAAACGAGTGACTATAATTTGTTTAGAAGATTAATATGGAAAAATTATTTTGAAACAGAACAAAACGTGAAATGGAAATTTTTTGTAGGGTCCATGCATGGAGTATAAATATAGCCATTTCTGAAACCTGATCAACTGCAGCTACTACATCAGACATATATCCTCCAAAAGAATAGAGTGCTTTGTACACAGCAATCCTGCAAGACCCCTTCTTTTAACTTCTGGCATGACATTCCTACTACCAAAAATATAATCTAAAACTAATAATACTTGGAAAATATAAATTGGAACAAATCAGTCAAGAGTATGCTCATATTGCAAAGTGTTGGGAGCAAACTAACTCCCACCGCGGAGGGAGAAAGAAAAGTTGACTGACATATTAAACCCAACTCCATTAATGTGAGGTCTTCTGGGGTGCTAAAAACAACCCTATGATTGGCCCAAAAACGGACAATATGATACTAATGCCGGAGTTGGGATCAGGTTCATGCAGTCTCAACACAAAGTAGTCCCTAAAATCCCTGTCTCCGATCAATAGAATTTTCCAAATGTGACTTTTTTTCCACTCAATTGGTTTTATTGAAAAAAAAATCAAAGCTGAAAAAACCCTTATAATTTGAGAAAATTTAATCAAGGGTCAAACTTATGGAGTTTTGACGTAGGAAATTCGAAGTGTGAGGTTGTTTTGGGATAGGGGAAGCAGCATAAAAGAATGAAAGAGATGAAAATACATTAAGTTTTAATTTACCCAGCCCCGGGAGCCATGCCACTTGCAAAACCATAGCTGAATCGGTTGGAGATGACCGGAATGTGGTGGTTCCCCGCTGCTATTGAAGCTGTATGGCTGCACTCATAACATCTTTCACATATTACTATGATCATTAATTCACCTTGCATTTACAACAACAACAATAGCATACCCAGTAAATTACAATGGTGACTGAGGAGAGTGTGTGTACGCAAAACTTACCCTACTTAGAGAGTAAATTAAAGAGGCAATTTTTAAGAGACCCCCGGTTCAAAACACATGACAAAGGAAAGAAGAATAAAAAACAAACACACGTGCAAAAACTGAACTAAGGCATAGAAGAACACCGACTTTATTCAAAAGTCAAATGAGAGAGAGAGAGATAGTTGCCTTCCATGACCATCAGCATCAAAGGGGGAAGCATAATGGCGCGAGACGTTGAACTCTCCAGCAGCAATGGCAGCCCGAGCGAAATACTGGGCCCCGACGATCTTGTTATTGCATGCTGTTGCCGGAAAACCGTCGCCTGTAATACATTTTCCGGTGAACTTTCTTGAAGTCGCCGGGGGCCGGCCAACGTGTTCTTGAGTCATGAAGCTGGGATGTAAGGGATTGATTCCAGTGTCAATCATGCCTATGACCACTCCTTCACCGGAGACACTTGGCCCGCCCAGCCTCGGCCAAACTCCATTAGGAATTCCCATAAACTCCGGTGTGTGTGTTGTCCGCTTCTGCATTTTAACATCTTCATAAACGGCACTCACTCCCTCCGCTGTGTGCAGAATACTCAAAGCCTGCATGGGTTGTTTATGTCATTACACATCGATACACTTATATACTCCCTCACGTCCCAAATTAATTTGCTCATTTTTACTCCACAGAGATATATAAAAAAAAGTGTTGAAAAGATGTTGAATAATGAAAAGCGAGTTGTTATAATTTGTTCGGGAAGAGACGAGTATTTTGAAAAACATATTATTTTCTATAATTTCAAAAAAATGAAAATGAAAAAGAAAATGATAACTTTTGTTTGGGAGGAACAAAAAAAGCGGGAAAATATAATTTTGTGGGACACAGGGAGTAAATACATCTTTGTGATTTCTCAAACGTGACTTTTTTTTAGGCCGAGGGAGTTACATATCCCAAAATGGTACGTTGGGATTCCGAAAAAAATGCTAGGGAAATATGATCATTTTAAAAGTATTGTTTGCAAATATTTAAATCTAATCTTTATATACTGAAAATATATAAAATGTCTATAAACAGATATCTATAAAAAAGATTATTGAGTTTTAAAAATCTATTATGTTACTTCAAATTTTCCTCTCGTCTTATATATGGGACGGACGGAGTAAGATATATTATGACTCAACTAAATATTTATATCCTATGGAAAAACCTTTTTTTCTCTTGGACATTATATACTTACCTCATCAGATTTCACATGAATTGCAAATCCATTCAGCAAATGAGTATAGCTATATAATTTGGTGTAATCACTTCTTTTGAGAAGAGAGCCCAATAAGACATCATGTTGTTTCATCATTCTTTCCTTGTGAATGGACACATTATTTCCACTGCTGCTCCTGCAAATCAAAATATACATAAATGTTTCTCTAATATGAGATTATCTAACTAGACATAGCCCTAAATTAAGTGGATAAAAAGGATAATAATGAACTTTTGATTTAACATTTTTTTCTATTTTACATTAATCCTAACTTATTTTCTACATGCTTAAAACATATGATACTCTGCATCAAAATATAAAATATATATTTCATCTGTCCTGATTAGTTGTCCGATTTCTTGTTTTGGTGTACGAAATTAGTTGCCCGCTTTTCGTATTTAGTAAACAAATTACGAAGAATTATCTATAATACGGCTAAACGATGTATTAGGATTGTTTACTGAAATTCAATGAATGACAACTTATTTAAAGTACATATTTGATGTCTCACTATAACTTCTTTTTTTTTCTTTATTGAAGGAATCTCACTAAAACATTCTAAATACAAGGGATTTTGAAAAGTGAACAAAAAAATGGGATAAAGGGAATACTGTATATATTATTTGACACCAAAAATTAGAAGCAAAAAAAATTAAAAATATGAAAGATGGTGAGAGCAGTGAAAATAACTAAGAAAGAAGGAAAAAGCTCACTTGATTCTGCTGGACACAAAGGAGCCATTTTCTTCCATTAAGACCATAAAGACCTTTGCTTCTGCAAAGAAGAATTTGGTTGCAGTGAAAAAGGAAAGAGTAATGATCAGTACCAATGGGGACTCCATAAATGTCAAGTTGATCAATCAGCCAACAAAAAAATTGATAAGAAAAATGGCATCTTATAAAGATGAAGCTTCACTCTTTCGTCCATCACATTATTAAGGCATAGGCATGTCTTTCTTATTTTTGAACTACCCATGTCTCCATGCATGTATGATGACACTTTGCAACTCCTATTCAAAACAGTGGAGATGTTTTTATTAACTATTTGCTTCTCTTTTTTTTGTTTCTAAAATAATATAATCATAATGTGTTTTAGCTTAGGACATGGATAGAAGTTAAGGTTTCATCATCATGAGATACATACATACATATATATATATACACACACATATATATACGGTAAGTCTAAAATGACACCAGTGCTACTGGTGTCATTTGCTTACACCAGTTCGTTTGGGGTACCTACGGTGCTCCGTTTGTAAAAACGATGGTTCCTACCCCCCCCCTAACTCTCCCCCTAAACCCCCCACCCTTGCCCCCCCACCCCAGCCCCCCCTCCCTACCCTGGCAGTACACTGCCTGCCAGGGTAGGGAGGGGGGGCTGGAGTGGGGGGTTTAAGGGGAGAGTTAGGGGGGGTAGGAACTGTCGTTTTTACAAACGGAGCACCGTAGATACGCCAAACGAACTGGTGTTAGCAACTGGTGTCATTTTAGACGCTCCCATATATATATATATATATATATATATATATATATGGGAGCGTCTAAAATGACACCAGTTACTTATACACCAGTTGCTTACACCAGTTCCTTTGGGGTACCTACGGTGCTCCGTTTGTAAAAACGACGGTTCCTACCCCCCC